TTATACACTAACACCACTGGGTGTCGGCTCGGTAGTCCAGTACATTAAGCGTTCACACGCTAGACTGAAGGCCATGGGTTCGAATCCCGAGAGCGGGATTGTGGATGCGCACTAATGAGGAGCTCCTCAGTAGGACGAAATGGCCGTCCAGTGCTTCCAGGTTTCCAACAGTGGTCTAACATCAATCGGTTCATAATCTCAATCAAAAACTTAATAATCTCCACAACCACTATACTGGTTATTGAAAATGAATCGGTATGTTTTTAAAACGTTTTTTTGAACAAATGATAAGAAAGTAGAAAACGAAGGAGATAATGCCCCATGTTTTACAGGTTCATATTCTTCTTTTAAATGGTGTGAATAGTTTTATTTTTACTTTTCTCTCCTCTTCATTTGGATCATTATTAGGTTTTTCTATCAACACATCATTAAAGAATGTTAACATTAATAATGAAAAGAAAAGATAATTGATTGCTCTTAAAAGCTTTTTTCTTTATACATAAACTTCTTTATTTTTTTCTGAAAAGAAAATCATTTAATGTAAGTCGTTTAACGTTGTTTTTGCCTTTGGTAAGATGATAACAGCTTACTAATGAATCGTATAGGTTTTATTTCAAATTATTTTATGCATTCAATTATCAACTTTTATCGGTGTAAGGTAAATCTAAGTTTTCCTGCTACTGAAAAATAATGTTTTCCGTGAATATGAAAAAAATTTTTCCTCTCTTATATTAACAAAAAAAGAGAGATTTTAAGAATTTTATTGAAACCATACATAAACGACAAGTAGTTTGATTAACGAGTCAACTTCCTTATCTGCTAAATTTATATGTAATTAATATATTTTCAGATGAATTGTACAAATACTAAGTAATAACTGTAATAAGTACTGACTTACTGACTTATTTGCTTACTTACGCCTGTGACCCCTCGTCGAGGAGCATAGGCCGCCTACCAGCATTCTCCATTCAACACTGTCCTGGGCAATCTTTTACACTTCTTTACACTTCTTATTGATCTTTTTTCATGTCTGTTTCCAATTCCCGAAGCAGTGTGCTCTTCAACCTTCTTCTTTCTCTTTTCCCTTCAGGACTTCAAGTTAGCACTTACCTTGTGATACAGTTCAATGATTTCCGTTATGTATGTCCTATCCACTTGTAACTTCTTTTCCGAATTTCTTCTTCATTTGGTAGCTGGTTTGTTCTATCTTGCAGTAGGTTGTTACTGATGGTGTCCGATCAATAACGGATATTGAGTATCGTGCATAGATAATTGTTTATGATTACTTGTACCTTGTTTATTATGGTGATGGTACTTCTTCAGGTTTCACCTCCAAACAGTAGAACTGTCTTAACGTTCATTTTAAAGATCTTGACTTTGATATCGGTTGACAGTTGTTTTGAGTTACATATGTTCTTCAATTATAGGAATGCAGTAAATGAGATTCTTAGATTTTTTTCCATTTTGTATTTGATCAAAACAATAAATTCCAATCATTTCTTTTAAATGTAATATTATTTAGAAACTGCTCACTACTTGAAACGTCAATTCACAGTACGATTTCGGTGTCTTTTAGATAATACATCTGGATTTATTGTAAGTTATTGATGTTCAATCCCAAATCATTGATAAAATTTGTATATTTTTTCTTTAAAAATTATACACCATGGTGTTGAATTTATTTCAAAAGATTAACTGAACTAATTTGCTAATCCATATATATATATATATATATATATATATATATATATATATATATATATATATATATATATATATATATTAAGATGATTACTTTCTCATCGAATGTATACATTTAGTCTTATATTGATAAATGTTGGATCAGTTTAATACAGAGATTTAAAAATGTTTAATGATCATATATATCAGAAGGGGTTTTGTGGAGATTGTAGTAATTTTAATAGTTGAAATCATGAGTCAATTGAGGCTAGACCATTATGAAAAACCGGGAAGCATTGGACGGCCGTTTCGTCCTATTATGGGACTCCTCAGCATTGCACATTCACGATCCCGATAAGTCCTGGGTTCGAATATGGCGAGGTTGGAATCGTAGATGAGCACTGTTGAGTAGTCTTACAATAGGACGAAACGCCGTCCAATGCTTTCAGGTTTTCCATAGTGATCTAGCTATAACTGACTCATGCGCCTAACTATTAAAACTAGTATAATATCCACAAACAACTCCTTCTGATACAATTTACATTTTGATTAGAACATTACAATATGATGATCCTTTTAAAACATAATTACCAGTTTTAATTATTTATCAGTATTAACAAACCAATAAATCAAAATTATACCAATAATTGAGATATACACTTCTACTATCAATGTTTAATTAAATGTTCGATTAAAGAATAAACTAACATCAAAATCTTACAACTGATCTACTTATTCATGAAATATGAACCAATTGTTGAATATTCATTTGTAACTTCTATGTCACCAGTTATTGTTTAATATATTCGTCGGCTCGCTTTAAATTTACCAGGTAATTCTGAGGAATTCTCAAGAATATATGCTACTGTGAATTTTTAAACTATATAAGAATTATAATACAGATACTGCTTTAATCCTTAGTCTCATGGAGTAAAAACTGATTGTCATTAACATTTGATTTGTTGACAGTTGGTTCAGAAGTAAACTAAGCTATATAACACATTTAAAGTACACTTGGTATTGTTTGGCTTGCATCTTCTCACTGAGGTTTAAGACTGCAATTGATCAGTCTGTTATTGACATATGTGCATACTGTGCGTATGCCTCGATATTGCCTTAATTCACAAGCTTTTTGTAGTAAGCAATGATGGACAGTGGCTAGCAGTGGAACCCAGGACGGATGAACCTGCATCCACTGACGAGTCCCAAATAGGACGAAACGCGCGTCCTGGATTCCAATGCTAGCCACTGTCCATCATTGCTTACTACAAAAAGCTTGTGAATTAAGGCAATATCGAGGCAAAGTACTTTTATAAAAAAATTACTCAAAGAATGCATGTCTAATTTACTTTTTACCTAAAATCTACACCGAGAAATAAATTTTATTCCTTGAACTATTCATATAAAATTATAGTAAAATTTTGTAATAATAAAATAAATAATTTGTTTTAGACACTTGAACTTAGCGGTCGATTGCAATTTCTACATGGACAGGCTAGAAGTATGCAATTATCTGTTAATTCTGAACAAGCGAATTCATGCAACAATCCAAATATATCTAACAAGTATAATACTTCTTGTTCATATAATGTATCAGCTTCTAATCAACATAATTTACCGCCTCTTGGTTTTTTTGCGGTCTGTAGTCCATTAGGACCATTGCCAAGTTTAAATGGTCCACAACGTGATGCAACTTTTAAAACAAAACATCAATTAGATTTGACTGTTATAACAATAGACGCTCGGTCAGTTTTCATTTTGTTGTAAATTGTATTTGACAACGTATGTATTCTTGGAATACAGAAACTAAACGGTTTAAATTAAAACTTTATTATAGTTGTTTGTTTTATAATTTTTTAAACTATACTCCAAGTTTTCGTATGAAATACAAATATTTTTTAGAGATATTTTAGACACATGGTAGACTGAAAGACTATCCAACTGACTAATTAATTTATTAAAAATTTTACATTTGATTTCGCTACATATTGTTCAAAGCTTAACTTTATTTTCATGGCTTAACTCTAGAGTGATTCATTTGTTTGTAAGTTTAAGTCATCTAAGCTAATTCACAACTAATGTAGTCGAAATCACATCCATTTAGAACAAACTATCTACGGATCCAGAAACATCAGCACATTTTTGATCGATTGAAGTTATATGTTAACACCGTTAGATGCTGGTTCAGTGGTCTAGAGGTTAAGTGTTGACGCTCAAGACCGAAGGTCATAGGTTCGAATCCCACTGCCGGAATCCTGGATACGCATTGCTGAGAAGTTCCGTACTGGGACGAAACTGCCGTCCAGTACTCCCAGGTTTTCAATGGTGGTCTGGTTTAGAGCTTCTTACAACTAATGTGTAACAACTATTAAAACTTGATATAATAGACAAGAGAAATATCAGTTCTTAAAATGATTTAATAAATGCCTTACCGATGAGTAATAATCGATTAGAAAACCTGGACCTAGGACTTCCTGTCAGTTACGTTTAATCACCCAACAAAATATTGATCCAAAAGATTACTCAAAAAAAAGAATTTTATAATTTGTTCCAAATTATTTTATATTAAATAAGCAAGAAAATAGTGATTATTATTATATTTATACTAGTTTATGAAATTTACTGCAAATATATAGTAAAGATTCAAGCTACCTTGAAAATAAAAAGCTTATTATAAATATTTTGTTGAAGATTTACCAAAGAAAGTAAATTTAGTTTCATTTTAATCCCCAAACTGTTTATGAATGAATCAGCTGTATTTTATAAATAATAATTCTGTAATTATTTCTGATATGATTATTCCTAAAATAATTTCTATAATATTATCAGCATGACTTGTAGTGGCTTTGCTTCGTTAATCAATAGCCTCAATAACCGTTATAACATAAGTCTAAACGGTGTTTGAAATTAGAAAGCAATGAGAAGCGGCAACTACAGTTTATTAGCGGATAGCACAGATCACAAGGCTATAAGCACATAGAGCTAATTTAAAGCAGAGAGACGAATAAGTATATACGAGCAATTACATAGGCAAATTTATAGTTAAATCGCATATGAGCGCAGCAAGGCAAAACAAAGGCTAGTAATAGGATTTGAGTACATATATACATGGGGACGAGGATGAATCACTGAGTGATATTTAAGCGATCAACATTTTAGCTAGAGTCTGTCATGTGATCTAGTGATCATAACGGTACAAAGAAATATGCGAATTGTTACTGTTCGAACAACAATGTCTGTTAAGTAAGTTATTAAAAGGACTTAACCTAAATTAACCATAATCGAAATTGGTTGTATGATAGTTGATATAACCTTAAATACTAGCTGTTGATTACCATTTTCGTATACTTTTTTCATAGTGCTCGACTTATATTTAATTACTCTGACAGTGACTTACAAAATTTCAAGGTCTATGACTTAATACACCCAGACGATTTACGTTATGTTGCTAGAGGACATAAAGAACGTAAGTTAACAAGTATTTTATATTTCTTTTCAAATAGTACATTTTTCCTTTTATGTAACGCGTATTTATGAGATATTTCATTTTATCTGATTGAGTATCATTCAGATCTACAAAAACATTCCAGCTGTTTGACCTCGAGTTACTCAATTTTACACTGAATGGTTTTTCAACTTAGGTATTTAGATCACGACTATTCTCACGTGGAACTGAGATAATAATACTTGTTGATCATAGAACACTACTCTATTTCATGTTTGTCTGGACCTTACTGCTGATGAAATTCGTCAGGAAATCAACGGAGTTACTAATAGCTCAGGGGTAAAATTTCCAAATATGATACTGGGTGACGTGGTTTGGGAACCCACGAAAATTGCAGACGTGCCTTATTGATAGATGCCAACTATCACACAACCAAAGCTGAGGCCTCTCTTCTTAATGTCGAAATTTCTCTTAAATTATATATGTTAATGAGAGAACAATGTTGTACTTCAAAATATACACTTGTGAATGAAATATGCAATAAATTGTTAAAACATAGAATTGATTTAACTAGTTTTCAATGTTTAAGCATCAAAATAATACAAATAGCTCTTTATGTTGATAGTTTTCAAAGTAGGTTCACTTGGCTTGCTTGTACATCGATGGTTAAATAAACAATGTCAGTGGATTTGGCTACAGTCAAGAATAAAACTTATTATGAAAAACGGCAAACAAGATCATATTATTGTGATACACCGACAATTATCGTAAGTTTCAATTTTAATATATTACGCTATATTTCAAGAATGTTCATGATCAGATCAATGTAAATTACTTTTCTTGAGTCTGAGATTGACAAATTTGTATGGGTTGGTAAACGACAATTGGTATATTCACATTGTTTTTACTGTGTGAACATTTACTGAAAAACCAAAAAGTTCGGCCCCTTTATAGTTTACTTTATACCTGTTGGTAATGTTTGGTATTCTGATTTACATGGTTTAATTACTGAAATTTCGTTTTGAACAAAATATTTGGTGCACACTTCATATAGAAGTGAGTTTTCTAGTTATTCCCAAAGTGTAGGTTTCATTGCTTTTATTTACCTTTGTATTACTTTTAACAGTCGTTGTTTGTTGACCTCTGGTCTTGTGATTGGACTCTTCCATATTGGTTCATAGGTCCGATCGGTGTCACTGTATCAGTTGATTCATAGTTGGTCTGAATACCATACTTCTAGAGGTTCCCTGACGTTCTTTGGGTTTCCAATCGAATTCTTGTTCATGGTTTCTTTCATGCATTGATATTAGTGATAATATATCATGTCGTCTTACTGTTAATCAAAGGGCGAAGAGGAACCTGAATTCATTTATAACCGTTTCCTGACAGTTTAGCTACTACAACTATTTCCCAACTAATCAGATACAATGTTCGTGAATTTCAACATATTTGTCATTCACCTTTTTCAAAAGGATAGATAAGACGAAAAATATACCAAGAACTGCAATGTCTCTGTCTGAATTTTCCAATATATAACATTTTGACAACTGAAAACTTTTTCTCATAATAGCGCCTGAGTATATCTAGTTAGCCTTCACAATTATTCAATATGAAACAAGTAAACTTATTGCAATATTTACACAGTTGAAAATTAAGTTACTCACTACTGAATCGGAAAGCATCAATATAAATTCGTACAGTTAGAAACATTGGTTAGTCAGTTAGTTAAATGAAAATTAAACACAATGAAAACTCACTTAATTTCTTTATGATTGTTTTGTGATTAAATAACTTTAGTTAATAAATAATATTAGATTTTATTTATTTATCATAAATTAGATTAAAATTGTACTGTTGGTCTACATATGATTCAGTATAAAGTAAGAGAGTGTATATTAGTTCTCATATCAAATAAACTTCAGTAGTTTTGGAACAGAGTAAACCTTTAAGACGTTCAATATAATAACGGTATTTAATATTTTCAGTTTCAACTAGTCTTGTTAATCACTTACACATTCTGTTACATACATCAAAAAATCATTTTCTTTATCAATGGTTAATTATGAGACATTTTAATTAACGTTTACACAGTATTGATAACAACAAAGGATATGATAAAGTGATTTACTATTAAACTATGCTGTAATTTATGAATAATTATAGTAGCAACAGTACTAAAATTATTAGTTTTCACCAAGATGAAGGTATACAAGTATAGGATATAGGCATTGAGTTTGATTCGGAAGATATTTTTGTTTATTTGACCCTGTAACAAATTAATATTTACTATTTTGTGGCGGATCAATAATTCTTTTTGAGCAAAAATGAGTCAGTAAACATGGATTATTGTCCTAGAGCCTAACCATTTAAAAAGATCTTGATGGCTATGCTGTTGTCATTGTTATTTTTGGAAATTATAATTCATAAGTTTTATTAATAGAATCGAGTATCGTATCATATTCTGTAAACCACTACAAAAAACTACTCTTAGGATTCATCGGGTGATCCCTATCAAACAGCGGATTAATGGAGAAATTGAATATAAATGTTTTCCGTTACTGTTTGAAATTATAGTCAATTTAACTCAACACTCATTTATATTAGTAGAGACAATAAGCTATGAATTGATAAAACCAAAAAAGTTATCTGAATATGAATAATTTATTTATTCATTTGTTTGAAACATTTTAGAAATGAAGAAGGGATGGAATTATTGATAAGAAGAACAGATGAATACAAACTACCTTTTCCATTACTTGAACCAGAAACTTTATTGAATGGTGAAGAACTGACATGTAATAACAACTTACATATGGATATTAATTCACCTTTCCCAATTAGCCAAATGAAAAATTTTGATCATCATCATATCCTTGGAAGTAATGATCAAAAATTATATGGAGCAAATGTTAAATCTGATAACAAAATTAATTTAAGCTCAAAGCATACACCAGAACATTTCTCTAGCCTTGATATATCCGGTAGAGTTCACAGTAGACACTCTACAGATATAATCAACAGTTGTATACAAATGGAAAGAGGTATTACTAGATCAACAACGAATAACTATGGTGACGATTTTCATTTATCTGGATTTGACAATAATTTACTTGAACATTGTCTTAATAAATCCACTAAACAATCTAAGGTTATTTCAGCTACTGTTCTACGTAGAAAAAGGACAATGAAAGAAATAACTAAATCTGAAGTTAATAAATGTAAACTTAATCATCGTGGTTCGTGTACTACAGCATGCACATATGTGTCAAATGCCCAAACTCCTGGTCAATTAAATTATGGTACAAACATTTGCCAATCTACTTATCTTCCATTAGGATTTAATCAAACATTATCAAGAGATAATGAGGCATTTTATCGACATCCTTATTTATGTTGGCCAACAAACACCAATAGTGTGGCAACATCAGAAAATACCAATTCAAATAGATCAGACAACTCAGAACATATTCCTCAATTAAATTCAAGTAAAGTTGGTTTATTCATGATAAATTCACATTATTCAAGTCAAGATTTAAATGAATTTAATGTGCAAGATTATTGTACAACAAGAAATTATCCAACAGCATATGATGCATACTCAGCAGCTGTTGCTGCAGCCGCTGTTGTAGCAGCTGCAACAAACAGTTGTAATCAGAAACATCAAAGTCAAAATAATCATAATGTATCACTTCATCAACAATATCAATCACAACAAACATTAGATCAAGAAATAAAACATTATCGACAACATGGATTAAATTCATCACATTTTTTAGCAAACACTAATGAATCAAATACTCTTCGTTTTCACCAGACATTAAATGATCCTAGTATATTTGATTTGCAAGGAAGACAACAACAGATAGAATATAATTCATCATTAATTAAACAACAAGCCATAGTATCTTCTAGTATCCAATCTCCGTTAAATAATTGTACTAGTTATATTTTATCAAATAATTACTTTCCACAAGAACAATCGATCAATAAACAAAGTTTAAGTAAGGCTTGCATACAATCTAATGATTCATATACAAAAGAATTTCTAAAGCCCAGACATTCAGATTCGTTGAACAGTCTTCATCAGTCACAAATTGAAATCGATGTAAATAATAATAATTCCAACATAAGTGACAATAACAACAGCTGTAATAAATTAGGACAATCAGTTTCATCTTACACATCTATGAATGTAAACCAGTTATTCCTAGAAGATGATTACAGAAATGAGTCAACATATGAGCAAAAAGATACTTCAGCAAATATGTATTTACAACATAATGTTGAACAGGGAATAATATATGCTAATCCAATTATCGACAAGGAGTCTTCATCAACATATTCGTCTTATTCATCTCCGCCTAATCTAATAAGCCCACATAACACAGAAATTGGCCTGGAACCAGATTCTGGAATCAGTCAGCATCAACAGAGACAAATACAAACTTCAACAATGGTAAGAATTAATGGCCAGTTCAGTGACCCGAATAACAATTCATCAAATTCTTCAAAATGTTCTCAGTTTTATGATTCTAACTGCTCTACAAATAACTGGACTGTAAATCCTACTCACACCAATTATAATCAAGTAACTGAATATCTTTCTAATGAATGCTTGTCAGATGTAGACTGTGGAAACTATTATTGTAACCCCAGAGTTTTGTCCCTCGCAATATCTATGGATTCATCGAATTCCAGTGAATCTCCTACACCACATGATACATGTACAGGTCAACAAGATAATAAGTTGCTTAAGACAAGAGCCGAAAATGATATTTTTTCTCACAAAACTAACAAATCTGGATCACGGTCTTGCAGACTGCGAGCAAATGATAACTCCAAGGTTGAAATGCCATTATTTTCTGAAATAGATTTTGGTGATCAAAAGCAGGATTTATCGAATTCTCATATACTTGGTGTTAAACGCTCTAAATATGATTCCACTACAAGATGGGATGACCATCAGTAAGTTTTCGACAATATTTTAAACTAGATGTTTTCAGAACATAAATGAACCATAGTAACCTTATCTTAACTTGTTGATAAAATGAAAATCATATCAGATTACATCAAACAAATTTATTTGTAGTTCGTCTGAGAGACTAATAATATGTGCTTTTATGTGATAAACAATGCTAATTACTTTTAAAAATGTTTAATTAAGTAGTTGGAAATAATTTCTGTGGTATGTATGAAATAAAATGATATTATTTTGACATATTTTAAAGCTGTTTATGGCTCCTTCAAAAATGATAACATAGTTCATATATTCCAAATGACAATTTTCAGTCAATTAAATCAACCACTGTCTAACTTGATGTTTTTCTTTGGCTAGTAATCGACTGGATTCAAAAAAGACAGGAGTTATCAGAATAACATATAGTACCAGTTCATGAAATCACTGAATATTGTTCTCAACTATATTTGAAAGTAGAGACTTTCAAGTTCGAATTCATAAAATAGTTGAAAACCTTAAATATAATTGCCTAAAATGATTCATAGATGTGCAGATATTTTCACACTTTATCTTTGTATATCTTAGGTTTTGATATGTCTTCATAATAAATATTCCTCTACTTAAATCCTTTTTTAAGAGGTGTATTTTCACTATCGTGGATATCATTAATTATCTACTTCAGTTTTCATCTCGTTAAGTTCCTAGTGTAGTGAGTTTGCATGAGATGCATTACAATTTGTTGTGACAAACGTTTATAGTAATTCTTAGTTCGCTTGTAACTGAATGAATTGATTAATGTCAAGTAAGTTTCGTCAAAATAACATCATATAATTAAAAATGCCTTCTCTAAAATCTGCATATGTGTTATAAGCATGACCAATTCATTAGTAAGATAATGATATCTTTTCACATAATATAATACTCAGACATTTATTGTTTTTATTTTAGCTATGATAACTCAAAGTCAACTGCCATCCCTGTACCTGTTGTATGTAGCGGTTCTTTGAACATTGTTTCTGAAGAATCATCACAGACAGTAAGTACTTATAATTTATACTTAGCTATTTCTTAGTGGTATTAATGAATGTCATCAACACATTTCGACTGTGATGTAGTTCATATTCATTTTAACTTGGATCATAGATAAAACGTTATTTCAATAAACTGATTTCGTTTACAATTGGTGTGAAAAATATAATCCCCATACTAGAGAACAATTTTTCTTTCCCAAATAAAATTCAGAGACATCATACAATATCAGTGATGTAGAAGGATATGAATGAAATATTGTATTGTAATAACTGACCGAACTATAGCCTTGATATTCCTGTGTGAGAACTGGTGTCCAGCCTGTATTCATATATTTGTGATTAGTACTACTTATTATCATGGTTGACATAATGGATTGATCTTAATCAGACAACTACTAAAAATCAAGAAACATTGAACAGTTATTCCTCTCTAGGATAAGACTTCTCAAAAGAAGGCATCCACGACTTTACCCGAGATCGGACCCATGCTAATTAAAATGATTTCTAAAGTTTGTAAAGAAAAAACCTCAAAAATATCCTTATTTGTTCATCATATGAAGTGATGCTTAACTTGATTAATTTAGAAAAACCGACAAATTTTTTATGGCTTATGCATAAAACAGTCTTAATATTTAATCAAAACAGTATTCGTTACAATTAGGTTACACCATATCAACTGAGCATTTAAGATCCCTCTAAGATTTTCGTCATTTTATATTCCTGTGTAGTGAAAATTTAATTTAGTGTGAACAGTGAAGATGTAACAGACGTCCATGGTTTAAATAAACGTTAAGTATTTTTTCATTAAGTAGTATGATGAACTCACACTGATAATTATGGCATTATCTTTGTTTATTGGTGTATGTCTCTTTCCTAATTCGGTAATTGACAAGTGTTCTCAATTCTGTTTCTTCTTTTTTTTAATAGTCTACCTAAAATCCACTTACTTTGTATAAAAAATTGTTTTTTAAAATTTTCTTGTTTCTCACTCATCATTAGACAACATCAGGATCATATTCTTTTAAGTTGTTTTTGATTTTCTAAGAAAGCCTAACCTTGAATTTCACTTTCGTTTACTCATTAAAATGAGAGAGAAAGAAGAGCACGAGAAAAATTATTTAACTTTTTTTAGCCACCTGCCCATATTTAAAAAAACTGAAGATTTTTAAATAAGTCTGCTTACGAAAAACGAATGAAAGAAAAGGGGGGTATAAAAAAACTTATGAAATGATTGACTTCAGTTAAAAAGGAAGGAAATCTGATGAAATTCACATCCTTTTACGCTTATTATCATCATAAAATCTTTATCGAATTGTTAAATAAGGTCATCATCTATCTTGTACATATCATTTGACATAGGGTCTAGAAACGCTTCGAATATTTCTCGAAAGCATTGAATAAATTATTCCATTAATAATAAAAGTAAAAAATTAATAGCAAACAGTGAATAATTCATAATATCTTATACAAGAAATTTGGTTGAAAAAAGAAGACTGACATTCTGTTTATTCCCATAACATTGAAAATAGATAAAGTTTGTTAAAATGAGAATTAAAATAATTTACAATCCAATTTATTTATTATATTAGTAACTTACTTACGCCTGTTACCCCTCGTAGAGGAACATAGGTCGCCCACTAGCATTTATCGAACTTTACCCTGGGCAATCATTTCCAGTTGTTATTTATCCTTTTCATTGTATTATATATCTTACTGAAAAAAACCATAACAAGATAGTCAAGTAAAAAAAGAGATATGTACCATACATACTTATAATTAACATTACATCTTTTAAATATGCTCTATATGGTTTTTTCCTACATAATCAAATAATTACTATGGCTAGTAAAATGTGATTTCGATTGAACTAATTAATCCCAACATTTTTTATTGATATTATTATTGAATATTTTAAAATTTCTATTGTAATGAACATTGATTATAATAATTTAAAACAAGAACTCATCGATCATTGGATTTTGTAATATGTCATTTCTATTATTTAACTCTTCATGAAATACATAAATATATAAATTAAAAAAAACTTATTTCACTACTTAATTACTTATTTGTTGTTGTTTTTTTTTGTTGTTGATAGAGTTCAATAAATACATCTGGAATCCATACAACATTATCAGATTATAGAGAAGAACTATTGAGTGCAATTTAATTTCATAAACTAAATGTATCATTTATTTATAACAAGAATAAATAATAATAATTATTATAAAATATAATACTTTGATTATTACAAATACATATATAATTCAATAAATAAAATAATAATTTTCCCATTTCACATAACATCTAACTTCATATTTTCAATTTATAAACAGTTTTTAATTTCATCAATACTTCTTTTTTTCGTTTGCTTGTTTGTTTGTTGCTAACTCATTTCACTTATTTGGTTTATTTATTTAACCATTATTTGTTTTGTTTAAACTCTATAATTAAATGAACAATATTACATCTTTTTAAGTATAATTTTTGAATGGAGACAAAAAAATGTTTTATTATCAATGATAAATGAAAGACAGATCCCTATAGATTATTTGTTTGTTTAAACAAATAATAGGATTGTATAAATATTAAACACAATATTATTGATTTTTGTAAATTAACCAAGTAAAATGTTTTTTTTTAAAAAAGTTATTGCCGTTAATTCTGTTTAACATCCTAGATGACTGATTTTCTCTTCTTTTCTTCGTCGTTGTTGGTGTTGTTGTTTATATTGATTAATAGCTATTAAATGTTATCATCTCTCATAATGTACTGAATATTAAACAATGCTATTTTTAATACTACTTATTATTGTTATTAATTTTACGAATGATATATATATATATATATATATATATATATATATATATATATATATATGACCTATACTGAATGATCACTGAGTAGTAATCAATATCATGTTTATATAGTATTTTTAGTGCTTGAAAAATTCTGTCTTTCAGGTTGCGTTGTTGATAATAACATTACTAATTAGTAGTCATTAACAAAACATATATACAGTAGTAGAGTACTGTAACTTCCTTTTGAGTTTGGTTCTAACTCACTCATAATCAAGGTCTTAGATTCTATGATAGTGCCTTGCTGACCTATTGATATAAAGTATGTACATTATCTGATCATGTTTGTCTCGCTCTTAGTGTTAACCAAATTCTACCTATCAATTTCTAATGTAACTATAAGATTTTAAACGATTTTGCTTAGGCAATTAAAAAAATATTTTAGATATAATAAGTGCTAACACTATCAACTTGAAAAGTATATATATATATATATATATATATATATATATATATATATATATATATATATATATAGCAGAATTATCGCAACATATCTTAAAAGTGAATTCATATTCATTTCATTTTAAACTTAGCAGTTTTAGCGGTTGCATCGATTGAAGTAAACCATGGAATATTGTTTAAGTACATAATTTTTGATAAGTTTCAGGAGGCGTTGGTAATGTTACTAAAATCCGATTTCTTAAGATCACAGAATGTAATTAATGTATATGAAAACATCAAATGAATCCAAGTATATCAATCAAAAATGTGCTTGATAATTTTCTGTCATTTCTTTATGGTTTTCACGAAATTCAGACTAAGAGTAAAATTGATATTGAAACATAATACATTGGAAAATTGAAAACTCTCAGAGAGTAATTATTGTTTCTGAAAAAAAGTATTTTAATACAAAACAACATGCAGTTCATAACATTCACAGATCAAGAGAATTCAGCGAAGAAAATTTTCTTTTCGACGAAATCATTTACTTAAGCTGTACATTCGTATATATAGTTATATGGAAAATGTATGTTTATTGGAGGATGGAAAAATTGCATCACCAAAATGGATTCGGGGAAAATAACAAATGGAGTTACGTACTAATCAAGGGGTAAGGAAGAAAATCGTTTATAGGTCAGAAATTTTTCTATCCTCTAATAGACATTTTCCATATAACTATATATACGAATGTACAGCTTAAGTAAATAATTTCGTCGAAAAGGAAATTTTCTTCGCTGAATTCTCTTTTTCTTATTCAATGACACTATGGGTTATTTTAATTATTCACAGATCATATAAACAGTTTTCGTTTATTGCGGGAAAAATGAACTTTCGGATTTTCAGCAAGGGTTTAGCTTTGATTTTAACGGTGAAAACACTACAATCTTCATTAATCCCCATACTGATATGTGGTTATACATATTTCATAATCATCCCTAATATAAATAGATCCTATGAAATGATTACCTAAGTAACTGTTCATATCAAAACACATTTTATAGTATTAAAACAACATGAAGGGAAATTAGTACTTTTCACCATTAAGTGATCAATGTTTAAGACATCGGTTACAGAATTTTGATCAATCATTTTAAGGCAAGTAAATCAAAATCGATGAAGAACCTGAAATAAATTTATATAAATTGAATTAAGATATCATTAGAAAAGTATTAAAACTGGTGGTTGAGAAATTATTATGTAAAGTGATTCTAAAGTGATAAGTTAATAATGAAAACGAACACTTTTCAATTGCTCAGTTATACTTACAGAAATGGGGGAAATATTTAAATGGGGTGGTCATAATCTATTAAGTTCAACGCATTTGCAGTTAATTTAATTCTTGAAGTTTATAATGAAAATCTATCACATTTGTGATAAGCCTAGTGATGAGTGAGATGATAACTCACCGATTACATTGGATTATTGCGTATCATTTAGATTTAAAGTATAGACTGCTGGATTTTAATAAGGTGCTTTCAAGACTGTTAAAACTTCAAGGTTCGTGATTTTACTTCATGTATAACCTTGGCTGCTTTAAACACAAATGACTAGCTACTCGGTTGCCTTCCAGCAAGTGAAGATTGTTCTACATAAATAAATAAAACCATATTATTTCTTATTTATAGGTGAAAAGAAGTAATAAATTTAGATATACTATTTCTATTACACAACAATTCGTAAGTATACATATTTCCAAAAAACGTGTCTTCCACTTGTTTACAATTGATTCAAATGTATATAAAGTACTCATAAATTATTATTTAATTATAAATTTATCAATATTTACATCATATTCTTTAAACAGTATGTCACAAAATAACAAATAATGTTAATTTCTTTTTGTTTATTATAAAAGAAAAGTTAACTGAATTATCTAAATCATTATAACTGAATAGAAAAAAAAGGGTATTTAGGAATAAGGCCTATTCATTTAATTAATTTACATGAACTCATTTTTGTTTTTCTTGTTTATTTTTTATATTAAAAAAACCTACTTTTTTTCTCTCTTAACTGTTTAACTGAATTATCGATTATATTAATTTTTTTTAAATTTCATTATTTGTTTTTTGTAATCTTTTCAAATTATCTCAAGGAAAGTCAATTAAAGCGGATAAAAAGTAAAATAAAAGTGAAACGATAAAACAAACCAAAAAAACAAACAGATGAAACTCAAAGTTATTTTTTAAAAAATCAATAAAAAATGATCAGTTTATGAATTCACTTGCTCGTTTTGTTTATAGTTTCTTTTTATACATACAAACATACTTGTATAACACATATAGATACACACACAGATAAATATATATACATATATATAGACTAACACAATACACCAGATGGTTCATAAATGTATAACAAAAAATAAATAAATAAACCAGGGTTAAAACGTCTTATTTTTTTTCTCAACATACTCAGAAAGTTTAACACCTAGTTGTTTATTTATTTTTCTAATGACAAAAGTGGCTGTGACTTATTTTGTTGTTGATAATTTAAGTGAAAAAATATTCATTCTTTAAGATTTGTGTCTGATAACCAGCTTTAACTAAAATATTCGTATGTACATATGTGTGTGTATGTTTGTTTTGTTTTTTTAAATTTTGTTTTACACATCCATTAATTTATCTTTCATCATTTCATTTCTTCAAGTGTTCATTCTTTTCTTCTTTCCCTTTCTCTCTTTATTATATTTAAGAAGGGAGGTGAATTTATTACGGTAAAGGGAAATCAATTTGGTGAAATATATCAGAAATTAGTCCATTGTATAAAAACAGACAAACTTTATGTGTGAAGTTAGTTTTTAGATAATTTGCTTACGATTACCCTATGATAAATATTTGGGTGAAATATATCAACGCCTAAAATTTTAACTTAAAGCATGTAAGAAAGATGATTGAAAAAATCCATTTACATTTGAAATCTTCAACTGTAAAATCATGTTTACATGTAAATTGGATTACCTAAGTCGGTTCAATTGACGTTGAGTTTATTTCCTTTGTTACTAAACAAAGGAATTTACGCATATTTATATGATCATGTAAATAATTACAATTAACAATATTTAATACATTTTCACGTTTTTAGTGAAATTAACTTACAGATAGTTTTTATTAGCAAGGTCCAAAAGATAAGAATGAACAGGATGGGGTTGTGGAGATTAATGGTTTTCATTAAAGTCATGAACCGATCTAAGCTAGATCACAAATGAAAACCTATAAGCACTGGATTAATTTTTAGAGAAAATTTCTGGAATTCTAGTGAGAAGCTGTGGCGAGTGAAGTTAATCTGTGTCCGGTGTGAGACAGTTACTTGCCGAAGACAATGAAAGGCGGTTGAGCAATATCATGGAGTGATTGAGGTTAGACATTAACACCGGCTCAGGGGTCTAGACATTAAGCGTTTGCGCTCAAGACCGAAGGCCCTAAGTTCAATTCCCGGTTTCCGATGCATAGATGAGCACTGCAGAGGTGTTCCATATATTTTTATATTTAATAAGTTTGAAATCTAGGCACCTACAATTTGATATTTTACTAACTAGTAATCGTATACTCACGTTCGATTAACTTTGAGAAGGATTTTTTGAAATTCCAGTGACTATTAGGGTCAATCAAATTGCCAATAAGATAACTAGCCGATATTATTGGGTCAAGATTGTGAAATATCACAAATAAGCTGAGCTCGGAGAATGTAAACTATCCAATAATTACTCACTGCTTCACAACTTTCATGAAAGCTGAAACAATAAGCATCCTCTGTTTAGTCGCTCATATGATTGTATGTCTGCATACTATGAGGAACTAACTGCTGAATGCTTTGAGGTGTTAAAAGGCTTTCCAGCTGATATCAGTGCATACTGAAAACTCTCTTCCAACTGTAATTCCACAAAATCACATTGTGAATCTATTTTCTGCTTATCCGCAAATGAATTTATATGTCTAGTGGTGACCTATTGGTTTCTCACTTTGACTAAAGTGTCCTCTCTTTATCAGTTATCATCTTCAGTTTAAAAGTATCTTAATATCTATTTTGGTATATCTATTTATTAATGCCAAATAATCGTTAAGATAACATGAAGTTGGTAATTCTTAGTGCTAAAAGAACACAACAACTATCAGTTTGGTTAGAAAGTTTAATAGCAAATAAAAGTATACGTCAAGAACGAATTGTTAGAAGTTAGCTTAATCTATTATGGATTATGATTTCCAGCATTTGTACGAATGTACACATAATATGATAACTGTGTTCAAAAAAGGACATTACGCAAAGAAATTTTGATGATTTATTCTAACATCCTCATCCCAAAACTAATCAACAGATTTCGCTGCATAAGTTAATTAATTGGTAATAGTAGAGTGTACGAGGACTTAATTGAATAAACCAATTCATTATTAAAAGCGGAATTACACAGTGCGTTCTTCAACTTTAAAAATCATACACTAACTACATTATTTGCACATTATCCTTCGGTTGTCCTTTACATACTACAAGATCCCTCTAGTTCTCTT